CAAGGAGATCCCTGTCACCCCCAATGAACATTTCTTTATTATCACTCTAAGGATGAAAAGGACTCCTGCAGTGACCTACCATCGCATGCAAATAAATACTCAGTGGCGCTCGTCATTCACTGCTCTGGATTGGTGACTGCTAACTTCTTCATCACCACTATTTCTCCTGGATATTTGCAACTACAGTTTTAATCACCTCTACAGTATTTTTCTGATATACAATAAGAACATGTGTATAATCTAATGCCCTACTAGATGTGTCTCTCACTGTAATTTGGAAAGATGTAGTTTTAAAAACGTCCTCAGCTTCCTAAACATAAATACAAAATAGTTATGGGGAGGGATGGGGGGCTGGGGAAGAAAAAAAAGTCCTCTGGTATTGAAACCACAGGACTTTGCTGCTTGGCACACAAGCCACAGAAACCAGACAATTGTTAGTCATGATCATTTCTTTTACAGCTCAAGACATTTCCCTCATGGAATAAGTGAACTAGCTTTTCAAAACTACCTCTGAGGGTAGCCACACGTAGCCATCTACTTGGCATCACATATGCAGCAACTCCAGTTTCCATTTCAGACATTCCAAAATACCGAAAATCAAGCCAGAATGTCCAATTCCCCTGATGTAGCGTCCAACACTTGCTAAAATTTCCAGGAAACTGATAGTTATACAAACTGTGCCAAAGCTATTCTGTACAAAGTATTTTCAATTGCACTTTGGAAAGAACTGTGCATTGAAGCAACAAAGAATAAAAACCGTTTCAAATCTACAACCCAGTAATACATCAAAAATATATGCTCATTAATTGTATTAAAGACAAACTCTGTGTCTCTGCTTATCAGTAATCTTATTTTAAATACTTCATTTAGAGACACTTTTGATTGTAAGAAACCATCTGGGCAGCTGCAAACATGGTTGGATACTTAGAAGAGTAAATTCTAAACATTTTTCAGGATATGTATGTGGTTCTGGATGTCTGATGCAAAGAAATCAATTATAAATTAAAAAAAAAGGTAAATCAGAAAACCACTTTCAAATCTATGATGGAAAAGGACTGGCTGCAATAAGAGACCATCTCACATCCCACTAGATGGAGCTACGGGCCTTGACTACACAGCCTAGAAAGCTGGTCAAATATTTCACTAATCCCAGTGGCGAAAGAGACTTTACAGCAGTCAAGTTCATTTGCCTCTTTCCTACTGCGCACGCAAACCCGAGCCGTTGTCCTGCAGCATTTATGCCTCACAGCAGTATCTATGTAAAGCACAGGCATAAAGATGTGCTGTGCTAGGGACTTCGTCAGTAAGCCCAACGTGGCTAGCTAGAAACCAAAAAAAAAAAAAAATTAGTGGTTTTGCATATTAAGAGACCACAACAACAAACACCAGGAACAAAGAGAATCAACCAGCTCTGTAAATTGTGCAATTACTTGTTTGGGAATAAAAAGGCAGATGAAAAATAACTTCTGTTTTAAACACAATTTCCTGGCTTCGGGAATTTAGCTTTATTTTTGCTAGCTGGGTTAGGTGCAGAAGCGGAAAAGGTAGGTGGGATTTTTTAATTCATTTTTGCCAAGAGCTGTATGTCGCCACACCATGCACTCCACAGGGCATGGATGGTCTGCAAAATCCAATACCACTTCAACAGGAAGCTGAAACATTAACCAACATTGGTATGATGAACTTGCAGTGCAAATATACTACAAAGCAACTCCGCAAGATCGTTCTACTTTGCATCTTTCATGCTAGAAAGTATTGTAGGCCTTCAGCGCTTGGCACCATAATATCTTGGCAGATTTTCAGATGTGATTTACTGCAGTGACGGAACAAGTAAATCAGAATGAGGTGTTCAGTCATGTCAAGTGTCAATACATTGTATGACTGTGTAAATTTATAGTGATTCCAGGTGAGTAAGGGCAGGCACTGGCGCTTGGGGATTTACAGAGGCTCCCCAAACTGGGACAAGCTGGCTGAAACAGCTGAAATGCAGCTGGTGGGAGAAGGAGCACGGTCAGGGATCCGTGTCTAGAGGATTTCTTGCTGTAATTGTGTGGAATACAGCCCTTTCTTTAAAAAATCATGAACTGCCAGCTACCCGGTTGAAGAGTTTTGCTAAGAAGCATTTTCCAAAAGAAGAGCATGTTTAGGAATGACAGTTGCCAAAACTTGTCTATAGCCCTCGGATTTATTGTCTGAGATACATATTTCAACAGAGGAAAAGAAAAGCTGCTTAGCCTATTGTTTACCCAACGAGCAATTACACTGTAATTAAATTTGGTTGATTGTTCTCCTTCACAGTAAGACAATCCCATTCACTACCCAAGCTTCAAGGGCATCCATAAATACATGTATAAAGACTAGTCTCTATGTTAGAGGAATGCCCGATATCCTAGTCAAAACCAGGTCCTACCACACCCACACCAGCACTCAAGATTGTGACTAAAACAGCCTGTTTGAAAGAACTTGAGGCCAGATCTACAACAGTTACAAACATCCTAATATCTGAACTAGAATGATATAGGATCTGTCATCCACAATATGACAATTTCTATAGTGGGCAAACAGATTTCAGGCATTGGTAAAGTTGTAATTAAAACAATAAGGAAAATGTATTAACATCTGAAAGACAGGCAATCTGCGATAGCTAATATGACAAATTTGAGCCACCCATGCTAAGAAAAGCAGATGCACAAGAGCGCAAATACAAGCACATACTGAAAAATAAGTGCTTCGGTTTCCGATGATAAAGAGGAGACCATCAGGACATCCTTCCAGGCAGATGTGCTGTTCAAAGAAAAACACCCCACAAGAAGTAGTAAAATGAATCACTCACAAGAAGAAGTTCTGTTGAATTCTTTTAATAACACTAGGAAAAATATCATAGTATTAAAGTCCTGCATGGGATCCTCAAAAGGTTATTTTGGTTGGGATTTCTTTGTGTTTATAAACCAAACTTTTTTTCCCCAATTGTGTTTTCTTTTAAACCAACTACTCCTTTACAATGGTATTTCCAGTTAAAACACAGCTAACCTATAAATACCTGAATACCACAACACACATTGTGTGCGTGGGTTTTGTGTAAATCTTAGCGGAAATAATGGTAAATCTATTCAACACAGGGAAGCAAACGTCGATTTGTTAAGCGGGGAATGTAACAGCCTGTAAAGAATACATTGCATACATAATACAGAAGGAAAAAAATTATCATCTGGAGTATGTGAAATTACACTGATTTTGTACCTTAAACCTATTAGAAGTTACTCTGTTGGCCAATACTAATCCACTGAACAAGCAGAATGTTGGTCAGAAGTCTAACGTTTCCTGTACCAGCACAGAGAGAATATAAGCAGTCCAATGCTGTTAAAAGAAAACATGAAATCCAGCTCATGTTTCTGGTTAGGGATCGATTTCTTCAGGAACTACTGTTAACATAACATCTTCGTTGCCCCTGCGTACAACCATGTTCAACGTACTGTCCTTTTTAATAATGTCACTGACATCACTGGCTGAACTTATCGACTGTCCATTGATGCTTATAATCACATCGTTGTCCTTCAGGCCACCACTGAAAATACAAAGCAGCAACGTATTATTATAATTGCCATTTTGTCGTCTTTACAATATTGTTTAGAAAAAAAAAAGATTGCTGGATTTTTCCTATTTCCCACCCAACGGCAGTTGCACAGAGACACAGCAGGCGTGCAAAAAGCAATCAGAATTTATGAAGCAGTGAAGATTACAATACAATGGAGAAACCTCAGAAAGCGGATGGAGGTACGAGTTTGATGAATCCCATATTTCACTACCTTCAAAGGAATTCACTATTGCAAATAAAGTAGTGCAGTAATTCTGCAATAAGGATTCTAGATGTCGATTTCTTAGAAGAGACAGAGGCATATTTTTCTTTTAAAATAATTGCAACAAGGCACTCATTTTAGAGGGGAAATTTTCCAAGCTTATATTCATGTATACATAGCAAAGCAATCTGAGTGGCACTGTGTGTTAACACATGAGGAATTTCAGTCCCGGATCTGTGCTGTTCTCCATGCATAGCTTATTGACAGCCACTTCACCTTACCTTCGTGTTTTAAACTTAAGCAGAATAACACAGGCAGCGATCTAGCCCAGTCACCAGAAATGCTTGCGTGTCCTTCCCCTTGCCCGCCTGCCCGTAGCCCCCAGGATCCCTTCTCCTGACCTCAGCACCACATGCAAACTGAAAACAAAACCTTCCCGACTCAAAGCAAGACGGGGCAGAACCGGAGCCGGCACCGCAAGGCTGCCCTGCCCGGGGCCGCGGGTCTCTCCCCCAGCTGGCTGAGACTGCTGCCGGGACCGAGAAACGGGGTGGTGAGGGATACCATCGACCACAATGTCTTGCCCGGTCTTGCACAACGATCTGGCTCCAAGTTATGGAAATATTAACCAAGTAACCAGATCAGACATGATTCAGCCCTTCAGCATAATCCTTCTTCACAAAACCACAGAGCAGTCATCGGCCTCTTCCGCCCGCAGAAAACGCCTTACATGAGCGTCTCCTGCAAGCAGGATGCCTTGGCCAACGTTTGCAACAAATCTGGTTGCCTATCGAAGGCATGGCTTAAAACGTTTTCATGGGATAAACCATTCTGGATTATCTTGGTCTCTCATGCAGCCTCTCCTCTCGACTCATACCCAGGACAGGTCGCTGCAGAACTGCTCTGATCCCCTACGCAGCATGTCTACGCAACGCGCCTCGGAGAGGAGATCAGCAGAATGGCGAAATCCATAGGCAAGGGGACTAGGAGCGGGGGAGACCGAGCAAACATGGGCTGCATTTTAATTGCCAGGCCAGCCTTCGGGTGAAACGTCCTGATTTGAGTTTGCCTTCAAGTTACGGGACTACATTGCCTCACATTTCTTCTACCTCTCTAATGTCCTTCTCCCACCCTCTGCTAACTATGATCCGTACTCCTGTAACGATTCTCCTGCACCTTCAGATTGGACCTGCATGTCAAGGCAGTGAGTTCAGTGCCACAATGGAGCAGCCACATTATTCCTACGCTAACTGTACTTTAATTTCACATTACAGACATATACCCGTATTCTGCATGAACAGCACTGCCAACAAGAATTATCTACACAAAGCAGCAATAATTTAGAAAGCAAGCCAGACAGCTAACACTTTACGTCTTACAGTGGCATCAAAACTGTAACAAAAAGATACCATCCAACCATCCTCGCAGTCTCCGTAAGAAATAACATGCCTGCTCCAAGCAGCTTTCTGCCTACATCTCTCCGGTGCTACTTACGCGTTTCTTGCCACAAAGATTTACTCTTCTCTTAAATGATCTCTAGTTTCAGAAAATGAATAAAGTTTCCTATTTTCTACCCTGGATTACTACGCGGTGTTGTATTAACCAAACTCTGAAGGGAAAGTGTCTCCAGCAAGAGCCAGCCAGACCAGTGCCGGTGACCACAGACCAGATGCCGTACTTCAGCCAGGCATCTCGTGAAGTGTGGTACCAACCAGCAAGTGAGGTTCTGAGCAAATACTGAATAATACGAAGAAAAAGACCAGTTGGACAAAACCAAAAGCTCTTCCCAGTAACGCGACTCCTGACAAAGCTCTCACGTGGAAGAATATCTCGTGCCAAGAGAGGATTTCACCCCCGACGGAGGCACGCCGGGAGAGCTGGTGGGTTTGCCCAACACTGAGGTGGCTTGGGCTGAGATGGACACATCTTCACAAGGCAGAAGCAAAGCTTCTCCCTCGCTCTCCTAGAGGAGTGACCAGCAGGGCCGTGGGGAGCGTGCGCAAGCAAACGTCTTTATTCAGTGCTGGCATCGGTACAACAGATGTCTTGGAAGCAGCCACTGAGAAAAATGAAAATTGAGTTTTCACACCCACTGAATCCTTGCCCTTTTGGCCGGGAACGCCGACAGGGCTTCGCTGCAATACCCTGATACGTTCGCAATATTGCCCATCGGGGACTGGACTGAAACCACAAACCGATTTCCAGCAGACAACCTAATAGCTATCAGATGGTTGTAATTTTGTTAATTTAGCATAATCAAGACAGCCAGTTAAGCAGGGAACATTCTCCATCATTACCCCCTTAAGTCAGTGGCAGTGGTTTTGAGAAAAAAGTAGTTCAACTTACGCTTCAGCTGGTGTTTCTGGAATTACTTCAATAACATAGGCCCCAGAGACAACATCAGGAAAGTCTTTATGGCGATCCTTCAGCTCTCTAGCTTTGCTGGAAAACGAAGAAACAGCAACAAAAATATTTTGACGAGATGGGAAAAAAAAAAAATCACGCATTTTTACTTAGTTAACTCACTTTATATTCACTAGCTGAAGTATTTTACACATGTTGACGTGACACTTCACAATTCGTTTTAACCCTTAAAAGTCTTTCAAGAATTATTATACTTAATGCCTATTTCTGGTAAAGACAATCATTTCAATAGATACAGAGGATCTGAGTTAAAACATTTCAAAACTTGGTCGTTATTTTAGAACTAGAAGATCCTGAACACCTAAAAAAACCTCTTCAATTTCCAATGCTTTGTTATACCTCTGATCCTGCACCTGCACGTGTAAAAGCTTCTAGTTGCTTCTACAGGACGTAGCGTCACCTGCTCATGAGCCTTTTCTGGTTTGAGTATGAATAGGCAGGTCCACACAAAAGCTTCATTTTACATTAAGTGAATTGTTTAATGAAAATAATTTTATATAAATGGAAATATGCATGTAGCTGCCGTAATTCTTGAAAACACACTGTCCGGTTTTCTCCTCGACCCTCACGACAGCACAGGACAGTGGTAACAACACTAATAGAGCCCCAGGACAAACTAATGATGCCAACTATTCTCTTCTGAAGCATTAAGGAAAAGAAAAAGCCAGGGAGTTGTTTAAAAATTAGCTTATAGAATCTACAGGAGAGTTCAACCATGCAGCAGATGCAGAGAAAAAGGCAGCAAAAACCAGCTGCGAGTTGTCACCAGCAGCTACGGAGGCAGACGCTGCTGGTTCAAACTCCTGGTTGTTTCTGCAGATTGTGAGCTTGATCCAAATGCATGCAGTGACCACACTTCGGAACGGTGAGGAACCACCACTTTTACTTACCTAGGAGTTAGAGACATCATTCGAATGCCAATGTATTTCTTTTTGGTTATAGCTTTTCCTATGAAAAGGAAAACAGGTCTTGATCAACTGCTCTTATCAAAAAAAGAGCCTCAACGGCTGCTGACTTTCTGTTTTATTACTATTTTCATGTTTTTCTCTTTCAAAGCAGTGAAGTACAGTACCTTTAGCTTGTCTGTCATGGGATTCAGTTAGGAACTTTTTGATTTTATCCGATGGGATAGCAAATGAGATCCCTGCTGTAACTTTTAATGTGTTAATTCCTATAACTTCACCATCCTGGAGAAATAAGAAATTGTTATTAGCAAATGTGAAATGTCTTGAAGAGAAATGGATGATTTCTTCCAGGCAATCACAAAGACAAATTCATACAACACGTTCCATAGTTGGTTTTCAATTTTCTAAATGGTTTCTTTAAGTCCAATTTCTCTGAATCATCTATTGATAAAAAATTCTTCTACAATTTTGGAAAAGCAATGTCGATATTCATATTGCCACTGGCAGAAGAGAGCTCAGAATTGGGCAGCTCTCCAGCTTGCAGCAGACCAGCAGCACATTCTACAGCCAATTTGGGTCTGTTTATCTCAGCAGGCACCTCGCGACTGGCAGGCAAGGTGCTGAGCAAATATCGCATAATAATATAAAGAAATACAATATAAAGAAAAACGACAGTTCACCAACAATCAAAAGCTCTTCCTGGTAATGGGACTCCACGGGAGAATTTCAGATTAAACATCTCTGCTGACACCTGATGATTCGAACACTTCTGAAATCTCAGCAGCTTCCTTCCCTGATCTATCCCAGACAAAAACTACCCAACTACTATTTTTTAAATGGAAATTACTGGTGCTGAAATTGTACTGAGAGTCGGGTGAAAAGAAAAAAATTGCCAAATCTCCAAGGCAGAAACTCTGACTAGCTCTTTCTTCCAACCTGTGCCGTCCCCTCATTGAGGACCACTGCCTCCCCCCGCTTCGACCCCCCGTGCCCCCCGGGGAACTCTCACACAGCAGTTGGGTTTCGCAACCTGCTTCGTTTGTTCTCTCTTGGGCTCCTCCACAGTTGCTGCAAGGTCAGCTCTGACTACGTTCTACAGTATCGGCAAATAAACCCTAATGTCCTGATAAATACGCGGGTTTTTCAACCCCCCTCAGTGTGATTCAAAATAAAGGGGTAGATACGTTTTTGAACCATTAAGTATGCAAAAAAAAAATATTGCCGGCTGCATGGTATACAGTGAGGGCAAACCCCTCAACTTTAAAATGTGCTTTTTACTTTTTGCAAGGCATGGGCAAAAAAAATTAGGCATTACACTTGCTCGAAACTATGCAAACCGTAAACACCTCAAATATTGAAATCCAAGCGTATCTTGTAATTTGCCAACATAAACACAGACAAGTGATTAGTAAGAACCATGTGAATTTTGTGTAGTCAGCCAGATATCGAATGCTCTGAACCACATTTCTGGTGTGGGATTTTGTTTGTTTGTTTGTTTGGGTGGGTGGGGTTTTTTGGTTTTGTTTTTAAACTAAAAAGGAAAAATTAAAAAGCTTAACACTAAGCAAACAAACTTAAAGAAACTCTTACCAGGTTTACTAGGGGTCCTCCGGAGTTTCCATACTGAAAATAAACATATGGCAAGAACATGTTTTAATATCTACCTCTTAATTCATGGCAAGCAAAACATAAAAGAAATTTCTGAAATATTTCTGTAGTAATTTTTTCATTGTCTATTAAATATGTGCAATAGAACAGTCTTAACATCCAAACCCATTAACTACACTTAACATCACCCCTTTTAGCTGAGCTTTGCAAACACTTAGTCCTTCTTCTCTTGCCAGAGCAAGTTAAGAAAGCCAAGGTTTTTCTTTTGTTTTAACAGTACCACACTAGCAACTTAGAAGATTTTAGGACAGCTCTGGGAGCTGTTAGTGAAGATTTCTTACAAGGCCAACAGTAGAAGTACAAAAACTATTGTTTTGCCTTAATGCAGAAACAAACTTGAACCCTTAAACTAAGCTTGGCTTCTTTTTTAGAAAACATGATGGATTTTGAAAAAAATACTTATTTGCCAGAGAATATTGCCTCCTCCCTTGTAATTTGTAAGGATTTTGAAGTGAAGGCAGATATTGTACTTGGTGTGGTTCCTTGGGGGATTTTTAAATAACAATCAAGCGCAGATGTCCATATTTACATGGATGAAAGAAAAGCCAACTGCGCTCACTGTTCTCAAGAACTATATCACTAGCGAAATTTTCAAAGCAACTATTGAAGAAATTTAAGAGCTGAAGGAGACGAGGCTCAGAGCAGAACATACGTTGATGATGGCATCGGTCTGAATATAGTCCATATCGGAGTTGCGGAGCCCCAGCTCCTTCCCTCCACGCTGAGTGGTACTAACGATCCCTGTAGTCACCGTGTTTTGAAGAGAAAATGGACTTCCAATCGCAACCACAAATTCTCCTGGCCTCAAGTCTGCAGACTGACCAAGCAGAAGAACTGGCAATTTACCCTACAAATAAAAATAAAATAAAATTTAAAAAAAAAGAATTTTCAAGTGTTGTTAAGACACTACTACACTGCTAGAGCAAATTCTACAGAAACATGAATACATTAATGGAGCAGAGGAAAAAAGAGAGGCTTTTATGTCTCGGGGATTTTGCTCGCTCTGTTTTCTTTGAATATTTCATGTGGCTCTGTACAGAAACATCTGAATGAACGTCTGCTCTAAAGAGCGGGCTCTTTAGACTGTAGGAGTACTTTTTCCACAACAGGTACCCATTAAATCAAAAACAATTAAAAGACCAAAGGAATATCTATGCTCTGCTGTACAAAGCAAACATCTGATGATAGTAGGAATGAGTTGTTTCCAACAGCTTCTTGAAATAATTAGCCAACAGCTGCTGAAGTAAAAATAATGTATTGTTTAAGAGTGAACACTGAAGAGTCATGAAAGCCACAGACGAAGTGTATCAAACATGCATATGTATAGTTAAAAGCATTTGATAATCTCATGAGACACCAGCTAATGTTTCATCTGTCAATGGAGTATCTCTTCTAAATAATTATATTCCCTCCTACATACACCGATGTCTTCTTCTGAAGATGTTAGGATTTAAAGACTTTATGGGATTTTTCTGTTACGACAGTAGGGGATACCATTATATTTTCCTTTCAAGATCTTATCTCTAAACATATTAACTATCATGTTATTGAAGACATTCCCACTAAGACACAAAACATTCTTAAAATCCACCATCAATAGACATCACTGCAATTTACAGCAATTAAAAAAAAAAAAGGGAGGGAAGGTTGGATCCACACACCCTTGCCAACGCAATGGATCAAGGGAACTGAGTATGGTTTCTCCAAGACAGTATCTGCACAGGAACCCAACTGGCTGGATAACAGATGATTCAAACTGGACCAATAACACCCCCCCGCAGCAATCAGAAAACAGCTGGGAAGTTCTTAAGGCCTCCTACTCACCAAGTAATTAAGAAGGTGTTCTGAAACAGATCATATTTCAAATAAATACTTTGCCTTTATTTATCACCTGCCTGTAAAATACACATTGAGCTCCACTGCTCCTTTGCTTTGCATTTTTAAAAAAATCAGTCTTTACCCTGTCAGTGACGTTACACGGTTTTTACTCCTTTTATGTTTAATCTGTTGTCCAAATGATCCTGACCTTCCCCAGGTATTTAACTACATATTTAATCACATCACTAGACTATTTCTATTAGCATCAATGGACCTGGACATGTATAATTTCAGATTTCCACTTAAGCATTTGGAGGATTAGGAGGTTACTGAACCCGAAATCAAAACAGAAGAAGTCTGAAGGGATGTATCTTTTGCTTGGCAAACCTAACTTTAACGTAGCTTTCCTCCAGGCTCACCCCACTTCAAAATTCTTCCCTTTGCTCAACAAACCCATGCCCAAAAGGAAAAAGGCATTAGTATAAACTTTCAAAACAGTGATTCTAGATGCAGTGGAAGCCCCACCTAGAGATTAACTTAAACCAAGGAGTTTACCTCTCCGTTCCAAGGAGTAGGTAACATAGTCACTTTATTAAAAACCAGGGTACCTTCAAGGTATTCTTGAGCTGTGTACCTAAAATGGAGGTACATATTAGCTTAATACCCCTCCTCGTAACTCATTCCTTCCGGAAAACTTCTGGAAGGTGCCTTTTTCATCCCATACTGTTCCAAGGCACACAGATTTATGCACCTATACTTGATGGGATCCAAAAGGTATATACTGTGTGCTCACGCAGCAAAGAAACAAGGTAATATTTAGTATGCCCTGATTATTTGTACAGATTCCCAAGTTAGTGATAATTTTGTTTCAGAATTTAATAGAAGCTGAATCTTGACTAAATTTTGGCAAAAAGGGAAAATATTACATGTTTAAATTGGAAATTGAGAGCTAGCTCTTTAGGGGTCTCTTGTCACCAGCAGTTTGAAAGCCTGTATTGATAAGTCACCCTTAGGGACAAAAATCCACTAATATAAACCAACCCAAACGCCCATCACTTTGTATTTTTCACCTACAGTTTTACTTCAAATGTCCTAGGAAATACAGAACGTCTGTAAAGCCGAAAGTAAAGAATAAAGGCATCAGTCATCACTATGCGCTGCTGCAAATACAGAAGTTATGGTTTTAATATTTAACAAGCCCGGTCCTGTGTATCCTTTATCCAACTTTGTTACAATTCCACCAGCAAAATTTTACTCAGATGAACAGATTGTTTCAATAAAACTCATTGCCAAATCCCAGACAGGATAAGATGCTCGATGGAAACTTATCTTTCAGTCTCCAGACAGCAAGAAAATAATTAACCAACGGCTTGTTAAAGAGAATCAGTTGGAAGAGCAACAGAATAGGCGACACAGTAAGGAGAAAAACATTTCCCTTTCTAATGATCTTTCAGAGGAAAGTCTTCACAACCAGCAATACCCTATTAAATAATAATTATTTAATTAATAATTATCCGTGGTCCCTATCAGTCCCACAGCCATAGATAAACCCAACCAAGGCTGTGGTTTAAATTCTGAGAAGGATTCAACAGTGATACCCAGTTACCCCGTCGTGTTTGCAGCACGGCAGACAAGCAGCAACGTCCCAACGCAACACTGCTCAGCAGCTCATAATCTCCAACCACAGCCCTGGCTCCAAGGGACCTCTCCAGTACAGCGGGAAGAGGCAGCTACGATTAGCTGTGCTGGGAAGCACGCAGTATATGCAACACAAACAGCCCCATATGGGTATTGTTTGGATGGAGGGAGCACCCTGGCCCTTCATTCTCTCGCCAGATGCTATCAAGCTTACGTAGCACGTGTTTTCAAGATGTCGTTGGTCAAGAAGTGCATCTCTTTTTGGCACTGCTTTTCCTTATTTAAAAAAAAAAAAACAAACACCACCACAAAAAGTGGCTTTTGTTTGTATCCCAGTGCACTGAAAACGGATACTTTACAGAGAAAGAGGACATTTATCAGCAAATGAAATATAGACAAGCAAAAGAAAACAGAAATTTTTTTTTTTTTCATTAATAACAGCAAAAAAAAAAAGACTGGTCGTGTACAAAGTTAAAGATTTATACAATGTTCCTGAGTTACAAAAACAGTCACGAAGCCAAAATCGCATTTGGCAGCAGAAAGAAAATACATGAACAATCTCTGACTAATACAATTACTTTTGATTGTGCTGAGTTTTCAAGCCTGTGCCTATACTAGCTAGGCTTCAGTTCAAAGTCTAACGCTGTATGGATTGGCTGTGGGTCACCCGTGTGATTCAACACTCCTTCTGGAAAGAGTTTGGCTAACCTTTTCTTTTGCTAGGAACAAAAATCAATTGCAAAAATCGCCTCACATATTATGAAACATAGCTTCGGAAAACGTGTTCTCTATTCCTTATAATTTCGCAGTGTGGTGCAGAGCGCCCTAACTGCACTGCATGTAAATGCTCTTATCAGTGCCTCTACAAGTAAATGCCATAAAGAAATGATTGTGATGAATATATGCATTGTGGCGGCTTTAAATTTTGGGTTTTCTCTCTAAAAAAGCTTAAAAATAACATTGCCACATTCAGGGCAATAAACTTTCCATTATCAAAAAAACTCCAAGTATTTATTTAAATTGTAGAGGTGGTTTTGAAGTGCAATCGGTATAAAGGCAATCAAAATCCCTGGGCATCAAGTGATCGAGTGGGAAGTATGTCCTTCTGCAGCTCACAAGAGGAGCGCTGGAAATGCAGGGCACTTATAGCAGCGGTTGTATCTAGAATCGTATCAGAACACCCTGCCTGTGCCCTCACACCCTTCCACCGGCAAGCTCTTGCCTAGCATGTTAATCGTCAGTCATTGTAAACCAAGTTTAAGAGCTTGGGTCTAGGGCCCTTAATAACTCTACTTAATAATCGGGCACTCTTCAATTTTTACATAACATCTGATGGTCATCGGGATGACATAACTACCGGTACAACTCGTGATTCTCTTCAGTTAACTATAGATTTGCCACAACAGTTAATTAAAATCCCAGTTAAACGAGCATGCCTTGCAGCACAATGAACAGGGGAGCCAGAAACACCCAGCACCTAAACAGCTTTCCCAGTGACTCACTGCATGACCTTGGGCAACACATAACGTCTTTTCTTTCCCTCCGTTTTTCATTTGATGAAGCCTCGGGGCTCTGCTGGGATCCGTGTTTACTCAATAAAACAAATCTGCAAGCAGGCATTCTGCAAGTACACAGAAATAGGACTAAACATGCAAAACCATAAGTGGCACATGACTCACTGTTTACACCCAGCCAGAGAAGGAGCCATTAATCAGTGTTAATATTTTAAGCCTTTCTCATCCCAAAGGGCTTCAGACATTTTTATATATGGATTTGACTCAAACCCTGGATAAACATAACTCCCACGAAATGCAGAGCTGCACACCACCACAAGAAACGGCTTCATCCAACAATAAGACGCAGCTATCGTGGCACGAGAGATTAGGACAAGTACAGAAGAACAGCATCATCGGCCAGGAGCCAGATGTTCACCTGATGTACATCAGCAACGTAGTTCGAGTCGGGTAAAATAAGCGGAGCCTTGACAAATCAGCTCTGAAACTAAAAGAAGAGGGAGCACGTAACCACCACCGGGCACAGCCGGTGCCACAGAGGAATAAAAAACAAGAGACAGACGACCATAACCAGTAGGTATTTCAGTTAGAACATTTTCATCCATGAAATAAGTGAATCTGTCTCTACGTTGGCACAGAAAGCAAGCAAATCCCTTCTCTGTTCTGTAATCCCCTTCGTTTGCGGAGGGAAGATCATGAATTTGCAGGAAGTAGTTCGATAAACTGATGAAGAGGAGACAAACGTTCAGAGTTCAATTTGTTTTAAATAGCGACAGATTTCCTTCATGCTTTTTATTTTTAGGTGGAAAAGAAACAGATGCTTGTATGGTACGCTAATTCAGCTGTACGTAACTCTGGCAAAGCACGTAACTTCCCT